GTCCACAAAATACAAAATATTTTTTGGCAGGAAAAGTGATCCCGCAATTTTTCCCGCCAAAACACTTGTAAAAACTTGTAAAAAACCTTTAAAATACCTTGTAAAATTTTCCCGTAAAATTTTTTCCCGCCAAAAAATTTTCCCGCAAAAAATTTTTTTTTGCGGGAAAAGTGATTCCGCAATTTTTTTGGCGTTAAATTTTTGGCGGGAAAATTTTTCCCGCCAAAAATTTACAAGGTATTTTAAAGGTTTTTTACAAGGTATTTATAAGGTTTTACAATGTATTTTAAAAGGTTTTACAACGTATTTACAAGGTATTTATAAGATATTATAAGATTTTACAAGCTATTTTATAAGGTTTTTACAAGTTATAAGGTTTTACAAGTTTTTTATAAGGTTTTACAAGTTATAAATACCTTATAAAACCTTATAAGTACCTTGTAAAACCTTTTAAAATACATTGTAAAACCTTACAAAACACTTGTAAATACTCTGTAAAACCTTTAAAATACCTTGTAAATTTTTCCCGTCAAAAATTTTCCCGCCAAAAAAAAAAATTGCGGAATCACTTTTCCCGCAAAAAAAATTTTTTGGCGGGAAAATTTTTTGGCGGGAAAAATTTTTACGGGAAAATTTTACAAGGTATTTTAAAGGTTTTTTACAAGTGTTTTGGCGGGAAAATTGCGGGATCACTTTTCCCGCCAAAAAATATTTTGTATTTTGTGGACCTAATTTTGTTTCAAATAAGGGTAAAATGGTCATTAAAAATTAAAAGAGGGCAAACTTAAAAATGGACTCTCAAAGGGGGCATTTTTGAAAAGGGGTATTGAAAAAGGGGCATTTTTAACAATTTTGAAAATATTAAAATATTAAAATATTAGATTAATATGTTTTAAAAATATTAAAATAACCCTAAAAGTAATCCCCGATTAATCTCCGATTTTAATCCGATTTTCCGATTAATCGCTATGTCCATACCGAACGCCCGACTAGCGCCTAGCGATTTTTCAAACAAGGGTCAGATATAAACTTATTCCATCACCTTTAACTATTTCAAGGTGATGAGATATTTCCCAAAAAAAACCTCAATTATTTTTTATTTGGACGTTTAATACCCAATTGTTTTCGGTTGGAAGAAAAATACACATATTAATAAAACTGTGCGATTTAATATCCAAACAATTAAATGTTGTTATTTTCATACTCACGATCTCACAACAAAAATAAAATTCCAATTTTACCCTTACTATCTCAATTAATTATTAACTTTTAGATTACGTGACAATAGTTTTTTATTTAAATAAAAATTAATTTTATTAATATTTCATTTCTTTGTTATCCCAAAAAAATTCAAAAAAAATTTCAAAATAATTTTCAGTTTATTTTACAAATATTTAATTTTTAAAAATTAAAAATAAAATTAATTAGCAAAAAATTTAGAAAAAGTAAAAAAAAAATAGCCATTTTTATGAATTGATAAATCTTGAGAGAGACGATGAGATTCGGATTGAGATTTTGTCGAAAATAGTTTCATTCGTGAAGGATTTATATTCGAATAGAGAGTTTCTCACGACGAAGAAAAAGTTCATATTGATGCTCGTTGATATCATATGCATCACGACGAATCAAATCATAGTAGTTTTATTGGCGATGAAGATTTTGGATAGGATTAAAAGGAAATTGTGAACGGTTATCGAATTTGATGGTTGCAAAAGAGGACGATGGAGATTGTTTACCGGTAATTGTCGTAGATATTAATCGAAAAAATTAGAATCGAAGAGGAAACGTCTCTTTGACATTGCAAAGACGGAATAAGACTGTACAAATGACTATTTTTAATATTTTTGATTTTCTGCTAATTTTTATTTTTAATTTTAAAATAAAATAATTATATAAATTTAAAATTTATTTTTTAGGCAATATAAAATAAAACATTAACAAAATTAATTTTTATTTACAAAAAAAATAATACAACGTTATTTAAAAGTAAATAATTAATTGAGATGGTAAGGGTAAAATTGGAATTTTTTTGTTGTTGTGAGTTCGTGAGTATGAAAATAACAACATTTAATTGTTTGGGTATTAAATCGCACAGTTTTATTAGTATGTGTATTTTTTCTCCAACCGAAAACAATTGGGTTTTAAATGTCTAAATAAAAAATACATGAGGTTTATTTTGGGAATTTTCCCATTTTTTAAATCGTCAAGCACTACAAATGATCGTGTGGCCCAAAAAGCCCAGCAGCCAGATTTGACTCATCTCCTTCTTCTTCCTTTTTGGTCAAACTTTGACTTTTCTGCTAAAAAATTAATTTAAAATCGAAAAAAAAAAGTTCACCATTTCTTTCTCTCTACTCGCCAAGAAGTTTCCTTTGATTGCAAAACTAATCTCAAACTCAAAGATCTGCCCTTTCGGGATTTTCCAGATCTTTCCCTCTCTAACCCGTTTTCTTCTCACCTGAATCCAATCAATCTCGCCGGAGAGAATTCACCTTCTTCCAATTGACTCGTCGGACATAGTCCGACCTTTCAATTCGTCGATTCTGTTTTCAATTCACTGATCGATTGATAACAAATGGGTTACTTGTTCTTCTAAGTCTCTCTTTAGCTGAAAGTTTGTTGCTTTACGACACTTCAATTTACCCTTACTTGTTCAAGTTCTTCTTCAAATTCGTAGTTATGGCGATTAGAATTACTTTCACTTATTCCACTCATGTTGCTCGGAATCTCGTCGGGATCCGTCCCGGCGGTGATCTCCGTTGCTGCTTTGAGTCCTTGGTTCGTCCTAGATTCTTCACCCACAAGCGTGATTTTGATAAATCTCCTCGGAATCGACCTCCATCGATGTATGGTAGCATCGCTAAGGAGCTCATCGGAGAAGGAAGTCAAAGTCCGCTTGTGATGGGTTTGATCTCGATCTTGAAGTCAACGTCGGCTCATGAGTCGTCAACGACGATGAATGTTCTGGGGGTTTCATCTTTCAAGGCTTCTTCTATTATTCCGTTTCTTCAAGGATCGAAATGGATGAAGAATCCGCCGGAGGTTGATGATGTGGACAAAGGAGGAACGTTGTGTGATGATGATGATGAGGATAAGGAATCGAGGAGTGGAGGAAGTGGATGGGTTAATAAGCTTTTGAATATTTGTTCTGAGGATGCAAAGGCTGCTTTCACGGCGGTTACTGTTTCTATACTTTTCCGATCGGCTCTTGCGGAGCCAAAGTCGATTCCTTCCACGTCTATGTACCCTACTTTGGATGTAGGTGATCGCGTTATGGCGGAGAAGGTATGACTTTTACCCGGTTCTGGAATTAGTTCTTACATGTTTAGGATGGAAGTAGTTGTATGATACTCTTATGGTTTATTGAATGTGTACAAATTGTTTTAGTGAGCTTGATGGCATTGGTGTGAAGGTTGTTCTATAGACAATTGCTAGACTGCACCTTGAGCTTTGTTTAGTTGCTTGATGTAGGTTTGTGAATGAGACTCTTTTAGTTTCTTATGGCTAAACTTTTGTGTGCCTTGGTGTTGGTCAGGTCTCGTACTTTTTCAGGAAGCCAGAGGTTTCAGATATAGTGATCTTCAAGGCTCCTCCAATCTTGCTGGTAGGTTACAGTTCATTGTTCTTGTTATTCAGATATATCAAATTTTGTGTGGTATCTTATATTGTAGACTAAAGTATTTGATTATATTCTCCTTTGAATTGCAGGATTATGATTACAGTTCCAATGATGTATTCATAAAGAGGATAGTGGCAAGTGAAGGTGACTGGGTTGAAGTAAGCCCTTATATCCAATCCACTTGTTGATTGATCCTTTTCACCCATTGAAGTCTTTTTTCACCTCGGTCGGTATTATTTATGTAGAGGCTATCTTGGACAACAAGTTTTCTCAGAAATGGACCCAACCCTTTTTCTGTTTTTTAATCAAATTCTTGTCTAACCTGTGGATGCTGTACCATGCAGGTTCGTGATGGGAAGCTCTTTGTGAATGACATTGTGCAAGAAGAAGATTTTGTCTTAGAGCCAATGTCATATGAAATGGAACCAATGGTGAGCAACTTATACTTACCATTTTGTTCATCCTTGTTGAGTATCAGATTGTTGACAAGGTTTGCTTTTCATGATTATTTGCAGTTTGTCCCCAAAGGTTATGTCTTTGTCCTTGGTGACAACCGCAACAAAAGCTTCGACTCTCATAACTGGTAAACTCTATGTTCAAATACGTATTATCGATTATGAGCATTCTTGTAATCAGCCATTCATTGTTGCTAATCGTGTTGATTATGGTGAATGTATATGCAGGGGTCCACTTCCAATAGAGAACATCGTTGGAAGATCTGTGTTCCGGTACTGGCCACCGAGCAAAGTATCAGACACCATATACCACGACCAAGCTATCCCAAAGGGACCTGTTGCAGTTTCATGACAAAATAAAGTTGGATGCTTATTAGGATTAAAGCACAAGATTGTGCAAAACCAGTCTGGTCAGAATTGGGCAGGCTTGGAATTGTAACTCGGAAAGTTATGATATCTGCGGATACATACTGTAACGACATCTGGTTCTTAGCTGATGGTGGGGAAGCCGGAGATGTTATGTGTACAAAAGGAATGGAAGATGCAAAGAAAAGAAAAGGATTTACTGTGATTGTTGTGTGTTAAAACCCTGAAAGACACTCTAGTAATGCCATAAAGGCAATTGGTAAACAAAAGTGTAATTTTTTTGTTTTGTTTTGAGTTTCTATTATTAAAGAATCGTGTAAACCTCCTTTTGTGTTGTTGTATGAAAATTGGGATATTTTATGTTAATGTTTTGGCAACTCAATTGTTTTCACTGAGCATTATTAATCTAGTAGTTATAATAACTAGATCGCTGGTCTGTTTATGACTATGTTTTCTAAGAGAAATTGAGTAATATACTTATAGCGTAGAATGCAAAGATGTTTATAAAATGTGACAAGTTACTTAAAAAATATAGTTTACACAAGGAAAAAAAAAAGAGAGAGCTCAGAGGTGTGGCAAATATCAACTGATGGTTCAGAAGAATGCGAAGGACCCAACCAACGCTGAAACCAATTTCTTCACAGCTCATGCACCAGCCGGGAATCGAACCCGGGTCTGTACCGTGGCAGGGTACTATTCTACCACTAGACCACTGGTGCTTCGATGATTAGACACGACTAAATATTATAATATAGGATATTACTAAAGTAAATCATGTACACAAAAGTTCCCTTCAAAAATTCAAGTACAAAAGACAATACAATATTTTATTGTTTGTACCAAGTAAGTTATTACAGAAGTGATTAAATTGCTCATATTTCTTAGGTATAAAAAGTAGAAAACCATGCTACAAATTAGTAAAATTCACTTGTTTTCGTATTTTCCTTAATCGTAGCCACGAAAAGGCCTTTTGAATACAAATCTATAAAAGCCAAAATTAGTAAAATTGAACTAAATATATGAAGACAAATGTCATATGAGTTTCTCAAAGTCTCTCAAATGAAAGCCTCTCTCATTTCTCTTTTTTGCGTTTTTAATTTTTTAGAATTTTTTATTAGGAAATTTTTTCAATGAGAAACCAATGGAGATGCTCTAAGAAAAATCTTTAAAATTAAACCTACTATGCATTTGGTTGAAAACAATATTAAAAAAAATCAACTCAACTGTTTCGTCACCAAGCACAAACTCCATTTGACTTCTACACACAACCTAGATTAATGGAGACATACTAAAAAAACTCAACACAATACCATAAAAATACAAAAACAAAACCAAAAAACAAAAGATGGGACATTCTTGCTGTTTTGAACCAGAAACTTATTTTTCCTACAACTATGACAGAATCGAACACAAAACTGTACCTCTCTTTCTCTCTCTTCTTCTCCTCCTACTCTTGGTCTCAACATATTAATAAAACTGGCTATGACTTTAGCTTTTCGTTTTTCTCCTTCCATATTAGCTTGAAACTCTCGGCTCTTCACCAACTTTCTTAGCCTCTCCTTCTAACTCCGTAACTCCTAATACATCACCGGTGCCTTGAGCCACCACGCCCGAACACTGTCCTATTGCTCTTTTTCGACTCTCTTCTTTCTCCACCGCCACAGCTTCAGCGTCTTCTTTGTTGTATGGATCACTGTTGAGATCTATCCTCGCTGTGTTCACTTCCTTCTCCTCCTTACTCTTATCAGACTCAGCCAGTTCCATGTCCTTCTTCTTCTTATCTTCTGCTGCTGTTACATCGCGCTCCAACTGCTTCTTCTTCCTCCTCATCATAAGCGTTTTGAACCTTCTCTTCACGGTGCTACACACAGTGCACCCACATGTAGGCTTGTGTCTACCTTTCCCACTTGGTGGCTGAATGCACACGATGCAAGAGCATCCAGCCCTGTGCCTTGGATGTCTGGTCGTGGTGGCAACCTCTGGCTCGCCTATTGTATCTCCTAAGACTGCTGCACTCGCCAGTGCATCCAAACCACACGGTTCTTGCTGACTTTTTGCTGCCTGGCTTTCCCCAGTTCTTCTCTTCTTGTACTCTACATAAATACACACACAGTTAGTGTCTTGAGACTTGATATTTTCAATAAGCTGAGTATATGAAAGGTAAGCTGCGTTAAGAAACAAATTTGCAGGATACCAAGCAACAATCCATATTTTGATAAAATTCCAACATAAGGAAGGCCAAACAAGCACAAATAACTGCTACATATCCTGAATGTTTTATATGAACGCCCAATTATAAAATGCTCACACGACAACCACTTGGAAGCAGTCTCTCACTATAATGCAACAAGCTAATGAGAAGGCACCATGAGAGGCCAGGGTATAATATATTTCATACCTCTTCCTACTTTAAGAACATTCTCAAGTTCCTTCAGACTCTCCTCCGGTGCAGAACATGAACACCTATCAATAAATATATTATTAATTACAGCGACAGGACCCCAAGGGAAAAAAAAAAGCAAATTCTAAAATGATCATCGATTCAAGCGATCACGAGAGTAAAAAAAACTTTTGAAAGTTCTTACCTGCTCACGTCCCAAACATTGTCTATACATGTCCATTTAAAGGGAAGAAGAGCGTCTACAGGTAACCTTCTCCATTTAGAGCAGTCGTCGCAAGTGGCCCATCGTTCCTGTTCACTGGACCACAAAGAAATTTGTTAGTAAATCATTTGCAAGCTGGAGATAAGCACCAAGTGCAAGTATTGAAAGTAAACCATAGGAGAAGATATGTTGCCCTGAAGAAAGTAGGAACTTACCCTGAAGATCTTGTAGTGACTATAGTCCTCTTTCCAAAGACAGGAGGTTCCTGTGGATAACATTAGCATGAAATATGACTTAACTAGGGATCCAAACAAGGGTAATCACATGCAACCCATTGGTTGTAAAAAAAAATAACAAGAAAAAAAAATAACAAGATCCACCACTTACGTCATATTCTTCAATTTCTTTCTCCTCAATGACGACGATGGTAGGCTTTGCACTAGGAGAGGGACGAAGCAAGTCCTGAGCTTCTTCCCAGGTGAGTCTCAGCTCCATAGATTCTTCACTATGCAAAAGAAGTCTCTTATTTTTTGCCCCAATGGTTCGAGTTCTCTTCTTCTCTTTAACTCGTGTAGGATCATCACCTATCCTGCCCCCGTTAGTCTCACTCTTCTGTGAGCTCAAATTTTCAGGCATACCGTTCAATTCCTGGGGTATTAGTGAGGGACACAATGAACCATTTATGGATGGTGGGTTTTCTGTAACACCAGACGATGATGTGTCCTCGGTTGAAGTTCCATTGGTGAGACCACAACCCTGTTTATATATATTGGAACCGGATAAGAATGAAGCTAAGCAGAAAATAAAAGCCAGCACATTCTTGCAGAAACCAGTTCATAGAAACCCAACCTGCATGTCTCCAGCATTAGCTGCCTTTCTGGAACCCATGATTAGTTTTCCACCAGGATCAACCCGACTGAAAGTTACTGTACAGGTGAAAAAGAAAGCCACACGATGAGAAAACCAACAATAGTTTTAAAAATGGTTCATGAAGATTTGATGTTAATACCAGCATATGCTTGAAGCTTTAACTAAAACATGAACTATAATATAAGTACCTGTATCACCAGCCTGTAGCATCATGGACTGTATGCATGGAGTGACACCTTCTAAAACATACATTCTACTGTTGTTATTGGGCCAATATCTGAACTGGAACGTCCACTCCTTACCCCTCACATCTTGGATTTTCAGAGGAATGCCTTCCGATTGACTAATCGGAGGAAAATATGCCTACATACCGATGCAGACTTCAGTCATAACTCTCCAAAATATTTCAAGGACAAAAAGACAACACCATAGAAATGGGAAAGTTACCTCTGCACAGGCTTTTGGAAGAACTAGACGACCAATGCGACCAGCATCACTGGCACTAAGAGTTTTCTCAAAGAGAGGTACAATGTTCAGATTCAAACTAAGATTGTTAAGATAAACATGGAGTCACCAAAAGCATGTACAGAATAAAATACTTGAAGCAAAGAAGTAGTAAATAAAGGATACTTTCCAGAGATCTGCTGAACCTCTTTATCCGTATATTTTGGCCAATACCGCGGAAGTAAGTGGCCTTTCCCTCGCCCTTCGACAGGAGGCCTTCCAATACGCGCCTGAGCGGATTTACTAGCCACAGGAGGAGTTGAAATAGCAGGTTTTGATGGCTTTTGCAGTATGTTAGAGGCAGAGCAATGGACCATGTTGGACTGAGAAGCACTGATGTGTTTCTTTCCCTCGACACCCTCGGTTGCAAAAGATGGGCTAAAAGGATTTACAGCCAAACCCATATTCAAAGATGGCTGTGAAGGTGATGATTCATGTATTTCCCCAGCAGCATCCAGCCTATACCCGGTGGTGGTGTTTTCTGAATTAATTAGCTGACCAAACCCACGGTGAGGCATGAACTCTTCCCTTTTATCTCCGCCCATGACTAGTGGCTGAGAAAAGAGACCGGCTTCGTTTCTTCCTCCGTCAATATTCATTCCGCTTTCGCCATTTACATGTTGTCTATCTGCTAACGGTTTCATCGGCAATCTGCTAAAAACACCTGGATTCTCACCCCTCGTGCCCTGCAAATATAGTAAACATGAAGACAGAATCATTTATCAGAACAACAACTTGAATATATACTCGAAAGCACGGAACCGAGTGAACCAAGTCTAGTCAACACTCACCAAATTGAGTTGATGGCAGCAAGTACAAGTACTACAACCAACACCACCATAGTCCATAAGCTCAATCGTTACCTTAGAAGCAATGCATCCACAATGTAGTCTCTGTCATTACAGAATCCCAATCAGAACAACAAAACATCGCCACTAAACTATATATAGAAAAAAAAACATACTCATATAGTTTCAAAAACGCACCTTGTTACACAAATAGCATTCCCTCCAACCAGATTGGTCCTTATGGAATTGTTCACAGAAAAGAGAACTCTCATACGCGGATCTATAACACAATCATTACAACAACCAATCAAAACATCAATTTTTTTCCTTTTATGTACCAAAATCACATATATTTTTTTCCTATTTATAGATTAAAAGAGTCAAGATAGGTACTAATAAACCATCTACGTAGTCAAAAAAACCAGAACAGAGTAAAGAACAGAGAATCAAGAAGATAAGAACAGGGTCACGAAAAGATCGAGACTTTAGTCAAGAATCGAACCAAATTTGGTGTATTGAATACGAAATTAGAGAGATTGAAAGATACCCGCAACGATAACAGAGATCAGCGAGAAGACCAGATCGAAGAGGCCAACCTTTCTTCCATTCAACAGTAGAAGTCGTACCACATGAAGCGTTCATGCACATCTTTGACACCATTTTGACTTCAAACATCACAAACCCACCTAGATTTTCGAATCCCCAATTCCAAAATCTTAAAACCCTAACACCACACAAAGAGCTAGAACCACGAATCGGAGATGAAATCGACGTGAATTGATGAAATTGAAGAATTGGAGAAGAGACTTAGTCATGAACATGCATCGACGTTGGTCAAAATCAAAGTCGTGTGTAGCGATCAGAGGATTGGAGAAGGACCGG